ACATTTAGTTGGTGTGGTCTATTACCAACCATCTACCCGTATTTCTCTCGCTCTGATGTCATTTTATAACCCCCCTGTCACGTCCTCTTTGTTTAGTGCTCTTGGCAAATTCCTGCACTCCCTTCCATCGACCACCCATATCCTCCTTGGGGGTGACTTTAATGCTCCTCATAGGCTCTGGGGTTACCCCCAAACACTCAAACCAGGTCGCCTTCTACACTGCCTCGCCCAGGAACGCCATCTCACCCTTCTTAATACTCCTGACACCCCTACTCGAGCGGGCACTGTTTCACAGCGTTCCACTACACCCGATCTCACATTCTCTCGGAGTTCCCTTCCTTTTCACTGGCAGGTCTCTGCTGAAATTTTTTCAGTGATCACTTTCTCATACACATCACCACCCCTCTTTCCCACAATAGGCGGAAACAACGAGTCGCTCACACTGACTGGGAAGCATTCCGTAATAACCTTTTGTCTCACTCATTTAAAACTTACGACGACTGGACGTCGCGGATCTCCGCAGCAATGACATCCTGTAGTCGCCGCGCTCGTTTTCAACTCCCCATTCCTGACCCTGATCCTCACTTCCTCCGATTATGGCGACGTCATAAACGTTTGAAACGCGCTCTCCGCTCGCAGCCACACAACTTCCAACTTTCCTTCCGAATTGATGCTCTGCGGGCTGAAATTATCGCTTACGGCACTTCTCTCGAGCACTCTCGTTGGAACACGCTGTGTGACGGCCTTGACTCCGCACTGCACTCGCGCTCTACATGGTCTCTGTTTAGGTCTCTCTTAGGTACCAAGCCTGCCGCTGCTCCCACCCTAGCTAAAGCTCTCACTCAAGGGACTCCATCTGATGTGTTTGAAAATTTAAAATCTCTGTATCTCCCACCCCCCCTCACACCTTCCTACCCAGATTACTGTGGCGAAGCTAACCCAGACCTGGACCGCCCATTCACGCTCAGGGAGCTGGAAGCTGCCTTAGCCACTCAATCTACCCGCTCGGCACCCGGTGAGGATGAGATAACATATACTACATTACGTAATCTCCCCGACAACGCGAAGGAATTTCTCTTACACACATTCAACGAAGCATGGAACAGCGGCTGTCTTCCAAGCTCTTGGACATCATCTCTAATTTGCATGATTCCGAAGCCCGGCAAACCTCCATCTCTCTCTAACCTTCGCCCTATCTCTTTGACGTCATGCGTTGGCAAGACTCTTGAACGAATGGCCTTGACTCGACTGTCTGATTTTATTGAGGCGAAAGAGTTTTTCCCTCCTTCTCTTATTGGCTTCCGACGCCACGTTTGTGCGCAGGACATGTTCCTTGTTCTTCAGCATACTTTTCTTTCACCTTCTCGTAGTCAGATCCATGCGCTTGTAACCGTCGATGTACGGAAGGCATTCGATGGCGTGAGTCATGACCACATACTCGCTCAGCTCTCCTCCCTGTCATGTGGCTCCCGCATGTATTCTTACATCCGATCATTTCTTTCCAATCGAGTTGCTCGCTTCAGAGTCGATACTCATTTGTCTAACCCACACTCCCTCACCCGCGGCACTCCTCAAGGTGCCGTACTATCTCCTACTCTATTTAATATGGCTATGGCCCCCCTTGCCTCCCAACTGTCCCAAATACCTGACCTCCACCATATTTTTTATGCAGACGACATCACTCTCTGGTGTACGTCTGGATGTCCCGGCCACGTGCAGGATACTTTGCAACGTGGCCTGGACCTTATCGCTTCCTTTCTCGCTACTGCTGGCCTGTCCCCTGCACCGGAGAAATGTGAACTACTTTTGCTAAACCGGTCTGCGTACCAGCGCTCCCACAATACCCTCATCTCCCTACATCTTTCTAGCTCTCTCATCCCCACTGTTCAGCAATGCAAAGTTCTTGGCTTCCCTTTGCACGCGACAAAGAACGCGCAGGCCCTACATCACGCTGTGAGGACTTGCCATTCGGTGACCCACCTCCTGCGACGCGTTGTCACTCGGCAGTCGGGGCTCCACGAGGCTCATGCGTGCCGGGTTGCACATGCGCTTGCCCTTAACAAGTTCTTGTACTTTGTACCCTACGTTCATTTCACCGAAACGCAACTCAACACACTCGAAAGAGCTCTATTAGGCCTCTACAAGGCAGCTCTAAACCTCCCTCTCACTACCTCTACCACTAAGCTCTTTGCCACAGGCCTCTTCCATCCATTACGTTCTCTTATTTCTCTGCACCACGACTCTCAGATTGCCCGTCTTTCTCTCACTCGTCAAGGCCAATGGCTATTAGCCCAAGCTGGTATCCCTCACATTCCCGTTTCCGTTCCCACCTTGCCTTCTGCCGCTAGCACCGCTGCTTCTAACCTTCGCATCCTTCCCCTCCCATCCAATATGTCTCCCGTTCTTCACGCCGGCCGGCGTCATGCGGCAGCACAGCATCATTCTCCTCCTCTCTCTACACAGGGAGTTGCCTACACAGATGCCTCATACATGGCTCCTCGGGGCTCGTGTGGCTACGTTATCTACCATCCACACCTTTCGGCACCTGACACGCACACCAGCGGGCCATACTTACACCCGCCAAATGTACTTTCGCTCGAGGTCCTTTCCATGGTCCACGCCATGCAGTCATTTTCCTCCCTCCCTTCTCTCCCCGAGTACACGATTTACTGCGACTCTCACGCCGCCATCCGTCACATACAGAACAACACGTTGCCCCCTGCTCTTCAACAGGAGGTCGAGCGAGCGGCCTCTGCTCTTCAACCCTCCACTGTCTTCCTCCGCTGGGTTCCTGGGCATTCGGGTATTAACGGCAATGAGCTAGCTCATCAGCTTGCCCGCGATATATTGCACCGGGCACCGTTCATTCCCTGGCCCACACCTTCGGAAGACAGTGAGAGCTCCGCGAATAACGATGGGCAGATCTCCTTGCGTCACACTATCAAGGAGGTATATCTCCAGCTCCGGCTCGACAAGCGTCTTTACCCTCCCCCTCATCCATCACTCACGGCGCTCGAGGCTCGAACTCTACGGCACATCCAAATGAACTGCTTGATAACCCCCTCTCGCCTTTTCCTTTATAAATATAGGTCTAACCCCTGCTGTCCTAATTGTCCCTCCCCATACGCTGACCTGTCACACTGCCTGTTTTACTGCCCAACTGCTCAGCAATCCAGCTATTACCCTCCCCCATCCCTTTCCATCACCTCCTGGCTCGACTGGATCGGCGCCGAAGGGAAAGAAGAACAGCGTCGACTGATCGCACAGGCGGTCGAAATGCTCGGCCTGTAAATTTGGCTGAATAAAAGTCTATTACTACTACTACTTATGACATGCGTGTCAATTAACAACATGACTACACGCCATGCTCGTTATGCCACGTTACGCCAAGCTCGCGGCCGTTTTGCTAGCATCACATATACCAAATTTGGTATTACAGTACGTGAATAGATGACGAAGGTATGTGACTGGTGCAAACATGATACTTATGAGATGCGTGTCGTGTAACAACATGACTAAATTCCAGGCTCATGATGCGCTGGTGGCTGTTTCGCTAGCTTCACTTATAGCAAACTTGGTATTACGGGACGAGAATGGGTGACGAAGGTGTGATACTGGTGCTAAAATGATAAACATGAAATGCATGTCATGTAACAACATGACTACATGCTACGCTCATGATGCGCTCGCGGCCGTTTCGCTAGCTTCTCATGTACCAAACTCGGTATCACGCAATGCGAACGCCCGACATAGGTAAATCACTTCCAAACCTTATAATCACAACATGCGTGTCATGTAACAACATGACTGTATGCCACACTGATGGTGCGCTCGCGGCGGTTTCGCTAGCTTCACATGCCAAATTTGGTATTGCGTGACCACAATGTATGACGAAAGTATGGGACTGGTGCAAACATGACAATCCTGAGATGCATGTCACCTGAGAGCATGACTACATGCCACAGTCACGGCGCCAATATATTTCGACGTGACGTGGTGCGCGTGCTCGGCGGCGTTCATTTCGTTGCTTAACGCTGGCGTTGCCACGTCAGGTACCGGTCCTGCCATAAACTCGCAGGCGCGCGCCACGCTGCATTGCTTTGACGCAAGCGCCTTTCGGGGCGTCCTTCGTCCCTCCGTCACGAAAAGACAAGACGCAGCGTTGTCTGGGTAATGCATCGGCACGAAGTGCAGCCTGTCGCCTTTCGCGCCGGTTGCCGTGGCGCCGCGCCGACCGACGCTAGTCGCCCATGGCGTCAGACTATAGATAGAGTGCTAGCGTTTCGCTAACGCAGCGTAGCTGTGCCCAGCGTGCGCGCGCGTCAACGATACGTTCGAGTATATTGGGCCCTTCATGATGCGCTCGCGGCCGTTCTGCTAACTGCACATATACCAAATTTGGTGTTAGGTGACGTCAATAATGACAAAATATATGACTGGTGCAAACATGATAATCCTGACACGCGTGTCATGTAAGAACATGACAACAAGCCACGCTCCTAGCGTGCTCGCGGCCGTTTCGATAGCTCCACATATACTAAATTTGGTATCAAGTGACGTGAATAGATGACCAAGGTAAACAACACATCCAAACATGAGACTCATGACACGGAAATCATGTACGGCATCATTTACCTCCACCTCATATCGTCGTGCTGATTTTAAAGTGACATATCAAAATTTCTCCTGTGAGCTTCGCATATCATTGATTCCCACTGTACGTGGAATCTGCCAATTGTTATGTTTTGCAGAGTTTTTAACGCTGATGTCAGGCACAGATAAATGGTTCTGACTTCTACGAAGATAGAAAAAATGCTATACAGCAGCTAGCACTTCGTTGAGTGAACGGCGGGTGAAGCGTACGGCGATGTCATCACCGCGACAACCATTCACTCAACCAAATCTATGTCATGAGAGTGTTGATGCGAACCTAGCTAAAGTAGCGTTTCAAACACCACAGCCACTCACAGACATTCGACAATGGGTGCAGAATGACTCACATTCGAATACACCACTGTGACAACCATGGACTTTTTCGTGCGAGACTCAGTCCCAGTTGTGACCGACGCCTTTACGCCACAAACGCCATCCGCACCACCAGTGGCCGACGACGGTATCTCTTTATCGGCGTTTTCCTCTCTAGACGCGATCATGTCGGCCATGTCTGCAAGAAACAAGATAGGATCATTACTTCAACAGGAACAGACAAGAAGATTGGGTGAGTTGGTGACGTTTCATGATAAAAATATAAAAGAGCGTTTAGACAAAGCTCTTTTTTATAAGACAAAACTTATATTTCCTGGGTCTTGTGTCTAAACGGTGATTCATATTTTTATCATGGAACAAAATTAAAATCGCCGACGATTACGATACTTCTTAATGCCAACTTGGAATGCTGCCTCTTCTGGGGCAACGCAAGCCGTATATGAAGGTTTGGCTATAGGCACCGTTATAGCATTTTAAAATTCGTTACCGATTGTCACACAAACTGCCAGCGTTGAAATGATTTTCACAGCACTCAGTGAGTGCATCGAAGTCGTCGTGAATCGAGCGAAACGCCGACAGCGTCGTTACGACAAGCAAGGCCAGCCGTAGGGCACGGGCCAGCCCTGCTTTATGTGCACCCGAGCTCCATCGGAAGGGCCAGCACGCTTGTCAGAGGAAGAAGGCAAGGTTGGAGGCCAGTGGCTCGTGATGTCGACAGACTCTGCGTTCACTCTCCTTTGTCTGTGTTCGCTCTATCGGTTACGCCGGCAAACCTCTACACCACTCAGCACAAGAACAGGTGCCTAAGAGATCAGCTCTGAGTCCCTGATCAGCTCTATCATCCCTGATGCGTTTAGTTATTTGTTTTGCAACACTGCAGGCCTGAATACCCTGTTGTATTGTGGAGTTACAGTGAAAGGATTGGAGAATAGGAGTTACAAAAAAAAAGAACAGCGCAGAAATAATTGATAGCACCGGAACCACAAGCAATACGACAGTGTCGCTAGTCGATTAAAAAAAGAATGAAAAACAGCTCTAACAGCTTAGAACAACACTCGCAAAACTAGTATTACACCGCTGTCAGTTATTCAATATTAAATATTACAAATACTACTCAAAGAATTCATCAGAACTGTCTTCCTCGTAAACGAACTCAGGTACACTGTTCCGAATCGAAGAAAAAAAACTCCGAAGTCTTTTTATTTTGGCAAAAAGTGGGCTTTAGACTGTGAGTGTTGGGCGTAGTTCACTGTAGTGGTCGTTAAACATGAATTTGCCAAATTTACTCGAATACGAAAGCCGAACTTCGCAGTCTAGTGCAATGGTGTACACACCGCCGCCCGAAATCTTTAAGCACTCTACGAAGTTTTGCAATGCCTCCGAGATCTGCTCAATTTGACCAAGCGACGATGTCGCGTGTGTAAGTATAGTGTATATATCCACGAAGTGAATGATGATGAGTGGGCGAAGCTCCGGAGGTAAACCTGGTAAACCATGAATCCTCTGTACATTTTTGCCCACTCGATTTTATTACATCGCTCCCCTTAGCGTACGTCGCCGCACTAAATCAAACGATTGCCTTCAACCAATGACACGCGCCATATGTGACATCATTACTATTTTATAAGATCTCGCGTCTTTCATCAACTACAAGTACCGCTTTCTAGTTATAACATCTTGCATCTTTTCATCATCAGCTACAAGTACCACCATCTAGTAACTACTACAAGAACTAAACGAGAGGTGGCTACATACAGGAGACGGTACCGCCATCTAGTGAACACTGCAAGAAGTAAACTAGAGGTGGCTACATACAGGGGACGGTACCGCCATCTAGTGAGCACTGCAAGAACTAAACTAGAGGTGGCTACATACAGGCTACAGGGGACGCACAGCCCACGCCCCAAGGAGCTTCGCCCCTAAAAGGGTATTCATCTGAAGCTGGATGGGCCACAATACAGTCATGGTCACTAATCCCAGGAGTAACGGCGTTACCATGCACGAGTGATGGTTCATCTGATAAGAGCGAATCTAAGGCGGAAGAACTATTGAGGCCACACCTAGTAGGTTCAGTAAGAAACTGATACAATTCGTTGACAATAAGCGCCTTATGAAACGCCATATATAGGGCAGATGAATTACCAAAGAATGGTTTGTTGTCAAACCACCTATAATTGAGCATATTGAAACCACCGCCTATAAAATAGTCATTGTCTATTGTAGAGAGAAACTTGGAAATGAATGTGAAGGACTCAGGTGATCCGTAGGCAGGGGAACGCTAAAAGGAACCAGTCACCAGAGACTCTCCAGTTTTAAACTTGATATTGCAGCAAACTGACTCAAAACAATCAGATGGTGTTAACACGGGAGATGACTGTAGGTAGGAATCAAAAAGAAAAAAAGACATCACCACATGCGCGTTGCCATCAGAACGGTAGACGTGAAAACCAGGTGGAAAAACCTCTGAGCTACCAACAGAATCTTCGAGCCAGGATTCTGTGTCTATAATCGCGGTAGGTTCGACAAAAGAGGTCAGAGAAGCAAATTCATCGGTCTTGTTTTTTATGCTTTGGCAGTTAACGACCAAAATGATAAGTGCAGAAACTGGATGAGTAGAACACCTTCTGCCGAAACACAGCCTTGAGAAAACATTGCTCTGGCAACACCCCTTTTGCTATTTTCCCATTAAACCACGACATGCCACGAGCTATCATACACGAAGTTCTTTTGGGGGTGAAGCTGCTTATAGCGGCACCTGTTCGTCCGTCGTAGCCGTTGTAGCATGTAACAAGTATAACATTTAGACCTCCAAGGTGGTGCTGGTGAGAGATTTCTTCTGTGTGTTATTGAAGAATAAAAAATAATGCTCAATGTACATACCAATGGCTGCTGATGGAGAATGATAGACAGCAGCATTCGGCTTTTAGTTAACGCGCCCGCTGCGATCCCCATTAGCAGCCATTTGCATGTACATTGAGAACTATCTGAAAAGAATTGGTTGCTATGTTATATTCGCTGGGCATAAGCTCGTTAGTTTTAGAAAGCTTTAGCGAGCTTTGACTCGCTGTGCCATGAATAAAATTAACTAGTATATACCATGAACTCGAGGTCCTTAAAGGTGGGAAGTAGATACGAAGCGCAATTCGAAAGAAAGTAAAAGCCGAATTCTCCTGTCTCTCATTTCCCATTAGCAGCCATTGGCATGTACATTGAGCACTATCTGACAGGAAAAGGTTGCTACGTTATACTCACTGGACGTAATCTCCTTGGTTTTAGCAATGTTTAGCGAGCGTTGGGCCGCAGTGCCATGAATACAGTGAACAATTATCTTACATGAACTCGAGGTGGTTAAAGGTGGGAAGTAGACACGAAGCGCAAGCCGTAAGAAACTGCGCGTATGCCACCCCTCTTTTAGTCCTTGGAATGTCCGCTGGATGGCGGTGCTTGTATATGGAGAATATATGATGAAAAGATGCGAGATGTTGGTACTTGGAGTGTTTAATGGATGGACGAACGAACACACAGACAGATGCATGGATGGACGCCTGAACGGACGCAGGGGCGGCTACATGGACGAACGCAGGGACGGACGCACGAACAGACACACGCACGGATGGTCGGATGGACGCATGGACGGTCACACAGACGGACGCATGGACGGAAAGAAGCAAGAACGAATGGACGGACGAATGGTTCGCCCCATTCTCCCTTATTCACTCCGTAGTTATGCTGCCATTTTTTATCAACAATGAGCTTATTGTATCAAAGTTTACGTTTAATTAAATGAGTCGATCATGCGCACAAGAAAATGACACTGTCTGAACGTGGGCCACAATACAGTCATTAGAAACTCATTGGAAAACTAGTGGTTGGCCGGCCGGCAGCATGGAGATCGAACTAGGTACCGCACGTAACAGAAGCTGACACATGGAGCGCTTCGCCACCACTGCGGTCCCCGTCTGACCTCATGTTCTTTTTTAATACTAATACTAATAATATCGGAGGTTAAACATCCGCAGACAACCATTTGAATATGAGAGACGTTGTGGTGGAATTCTCCGATAATTTCGAGCAACTGGTGTTCTGTAACGTGTGCTGACATCACACAGCACATGGGCCTCCACCATTCCTCCTCCATCGAAATGTGACTGCCACAGCCGGGATCGAGCCTGCGACCTTCGGTTCAGCCTGCGACCTTCGGTTCAGATCTGCTCAATTTGACCAAGCGACGATGTCGCGTGATGACGTCCTCGTGTGGCCTCATGATGGCGTCACAATCTATGGCAACCCTTAATATCACGATGACGTCATGAGGCCACGTTATCAACTACTGAATTCTTTCATAGCTGGGGTTGATGCTGACGCCACTGATGGTTATCTTTCTCGTTGTTTAAGTATTGCTTCAACAATGGCAACCACGCTGAATTGATGTAACAAGGCTACCATTCTCACAAATCTCAGAGTTCCATCATGCATTTCTCTTTGGTTTGCTAATGCGGAAAGCGGAACAGGTCAGTTTCGGTCACGTGTTCTATCCGGCCACGGCGGTCCCATTACGATGGACGTGAAATGCCGGAGGCCCGTATACTGTGCGCATTACGTGCTCGTTAAAGAACACGAAACGGTCGAAATTTCTGGCGCCCTCCACAACGACATCTCTCACAATTATATCGTGGTTCCGGGAGGTTAGGCCCAACATAATACTATTCATCTTTTTTGAACTAGATTACATACGATTGGCTGAACCAAATACCGCATCTACTTCATGTTATGATGAATTCCAAAAGATGAAAAGAACCAAAAAAATAAACGCCCGGCAAGACAGCTGCTAAAAAAACCGCTTTAGAAGTGCACTCGTTTGTTTGCAATGTGCTCCAGCCTCGTTTATGTTAGTGTTCCGGTAGTGTAATATCATCTAGGCATCTCAGGCCTAAAATGCTACTAAGAACTGGTTCTACGAAACAGTGAGCTCTGTTCTAGGCACTCATTAGATGCATGGGCGCGAACGGACTGTATCTTCTAGCGCTGCTCTTTGCATTCCTTAATGTCCGGGCGCGCACGTGTAGTTGTTTGTGAAGTATCTTAATAGTCCCGCCGCGGTGGTCTAGTGGCTAAGGTACTCGGCTGCTGACCCGAAGGTTGTGGGTTCAAATCCCGGCTGCGGCGGCTGCATTTC